TGTGTTTGGGCTTATGTGTGTCAGTTTCCAGCTTTAATCTTATGTAACAAGACTCTTTATAGGTCAATAGAGGAATGAAGTCATTGTTGAACTACAGCTTGTGTGTGTGTCACCTCCACAACCTACAACAATAAAATATGATCTTTGAGTAGTGATATGGGAGTAAAATATACCATACTGATGTGAATTGGAGGTCATCTTTTCCCTCGGCTGTTAGGGTACCTGGGCCGTTGACCCAGTGTTTTGTGTTTGTGGTTTTTTGAGTCTTGTTTAATCATTATTCTGTTCTCTGTGTATCTTATGTTTCCTAGTTATCAGAATCAGAATACTTTATTAATCCTACAGGATTAATAAAGTATTCTGATTTACTTTATTAAATCAGAATTCAAGGGCTTACGCTCTTGAATTTATTCAGTATTTGTTGTTTAGGTTGTCTTGGTTAGTATTTGGTCCCGTTCATGTCTTTGTCTCGTGTCTTCTCTCGTCCCTTGCTCTCTGTCCTTTTTGCTCTGCTGCAAACAGAAGCAGAGAAAACTGGAGCTTCTGGTCTTGGCCAGATCTCTTTTGAAAAAGACATTTTAAAGTCAATGAGACTTTTTACCAGATAAATAAATAAAGAATATAAAAGTCTTCTACTTTATGATGGAAATGTTCTTTCTGGCTCAAAATGACATCATTTATCTGAATCTGTAGAAGAAGAAACAATCTTGGAAAGTCACTTTACTCTGTGTCTCACTGGATGTTCAAAGTTTTTAACAAAAGAGAAAAAGAGAAGCATTCTTTGATTTTAGTCTGTTAGCCCACAAGCTGAGTTTTTATCAGAGTCCTGCATGAGTCAGTGTTATTTCACTGAGACTGTCATGATCCAAGCCGCCAGGAACACACAGGCACAAATGTAATCTTCAAAAAAAAAGGGTTTTATTATACCCCAAAAAGGACAAAATGATTACAAAAATTCAAAATAACAAAAAATAAAGTTTGTAAGAACCAAGTGGGCCCATAAAAGAGGTTACCTTAACAGACCGCTACTCAAAAATCACTTAACAAAAACATAACTCAAACTGACCTGCCCAAATGAGAAACAGCTCCAGTTATATAGCAAATGAATAAACCATTATATAAACCAAAGGTGAAAACTAAAGGGATAACAGATAACCATCATTCAAGAAGAACCCCATCCCCCCTGCATGATCACAATAGATGGTCCAGTCCACTTTATTGGCTTCTGCATTTAAACCAGCTCCACCCTCAGCCTCCTCTTTCAGCCAAACCAGGAAGGACTGGAGCGGAGGTCAGGTAACTGAGAAAGAGCAGAAATATAATCAATATAACATACCTATATAAAATAACAAACAATGCAAAGCAAAGTCTATGCTAGTGATGGGCAGATGAAGCTTCGTGAAGCACTGAAGCTTTTCATCCAATTGGTTCACCCCAGCGCAAAGCTTCTTGAAGCTTCATTTGCTCTAGCAGGACACCTACTGGACGTAAAAATAATAGCTGGCATGAATTTGAAGAGTGTGGCCTTTTGCACACAGCCTGTAAATGTCAACAACAAAAGGAGTGTGTAAAACATGTATATTGTAGTGATGGCAGTATACTGTGTATATTTATACTGGCAGTATGGGAAATGATTATTTGGAAATGCTTAAAATGCAAATGATCATTTACTGTGAGGTGAGGTGTGGTTGGGGTGTGGACAGTGGTTGTGCGGTTGTAACGTTGAGGTATGGACAGCTACACAGTCCTGCCTGTTCACATTTTATTCTGTAAAAACTAAATTTTCACTGCTTTTATGACCTTTTTAGTGGGGAGAACATAGCTGGGATTTAATGATTTAACACATCTTTTGAATCCTTTGTCCTCCACAATGCTAAATGGCTGGGAGTCCTCAATCACCATGCTGACCAGGTCTTCATCTATTTGAGATTGTTCTCCTGAGGAAAGACAATAAAGACAAAGCACAAATATAAATATCACACATGTAACTTATAACAGTTGTATAATATTGTTATATCATTTAGTAACATTACTGCATGCTATATTATCATGGCATTTGATGGCTCACCTGGTCTTGCTCCACGATCGGTGTTCCCCTTATTCTCATGCAAAGCTCTGTAGTGCCTAAGCATGGATGAGGTGTTGTTGTTATATCCCAGCTCCCTGGCACATAGCAAACACTTCACCTTGTACAAAAGTACAGACAGCTTAACATAAATTGTATTGCAGCATCAGTATTATGAAAATACATCTTCTGTAGAAATAGCTTGTTGGGAGGAATAAAATCACAATGTTCCCACACAGGGGAGGACATCCTCCTCTTCTTAGCTGGCTCAATTCTCTCCTGACTTTCTCTCCTCACTCTCATAAACCTCCAAACTGTCTCCAAACTCTCACTAACCGCAACTCTCCATCAAACACCCACATTTTTAATGAAGTCTGAGGGTTTATATTTGTCATATCTCGCGGCAAAGTTCGAACCACTTCATGAACCAGTCACGTGGTACAGCCGGGCAGCGAGGCTTCGGACGTCATCATTTTCAGCTCCTCCCATAAATGAAGCAAGCCTCGATACGCGCATCGCGGAAACGCCCCTCAATTACCCGACACACGCTCCGAAGCCTCGATACAGAACGTCACATCACTACAGGTAACCTCAAAACGTCAAATTAGTTAACTTATGATCACAGAAACTTTAAAGCATAACGTAAACATAAGACAAAAGACCAAATGAATATTACTAAGTGTCTCAGTTGTGTGGTTGCATGCACCCATCACAGTGACCATCACAGTTTTACACACCTGTTCTGTATGACTTTGTCTCAGGTTTGCGGTGATATCCAGCACTCTGAGCTGATGGCAGATCTGGTCAGTCCACAGTAGCTTCAACCACTAAATTATCTCTAACACATCACCAAACCAAAGTCTTCCTGCTAAGAGTACATCAAAGGTGAAAAGCGAGCCTAGAATGTCATCATTTCTGCTCTCCTCTTTCTTCTTCTCCTACTTCTGGACCGCACACATCTGTCGCTGCCCTACTCAGGTCGATCTAATGAAAATCAGCCAGAAATAATAATCAGAAATCCAAATGTAGAATTTATAGTTCCCCATTGATGCAATTTGGTTATTAAATTTAAGAAGCAGTCTGTAATGCTCACCCCAGCATAGTTGAAGCAGATCATCAAAGCATGCTGAACACTTTCTACCATTCCACATGTGCATTTTCTATCCAGGTACTCAACAGCACCAAACCATAATTGTGAATCCATGGCTTTGATCTGGTGAAAATCACCCTACCCCTACTGTTCATCTTTACACACAACAGATGGTGTTTCTGTATCTTATGACTGAATGAAAAGTAATGACAACCATTATTTTCAATCTTCCATTGCTTCTACCTGTTGTTTCTCTGTATTATTGTCGGATCTTTACCTTCAAATAAAGTGCCTTCAATATAAACTGCCTTGAGGTAACTTGTTGTAATTTGGTGTTTTATTAAGAAAATTGAACTATTGTGGCAGAAAAGTTGGATGCAAACCAAGACTAAAAGTCCTCAGGCAGGAGTCATAGCTGGGCTTTAGCATCTGGGTCACCCACTTTACCCAGGGAGCTAAACCAGCATCTCCAACAGGTGATTTGTTTGTCTGGCAGTTTCAGGCTGGGAAAGCTTGTTAAACTTTAACAAAACATTATTTGGCACCAACGTGAATGATTTGGGTCATGTTTATCACGTCTGAGTCAGGGAGCAAAGGTCACCTCCTTTATGCAGGATTTCACCTTATGCCAACAGGGGAAAAAAATCACGAGTTCTTAAACAAGCTGTAGGTCATGTTACTACACACATTTCAATATGTAAGCATTTCATCATGTTTTAGAGCCTCAGAGTTATTTCAGCCTCATCTTCACATATTTTCACAAATATTCACATTATCTCCGAGATCCAGTTGTGAAATTTTTTCCCTCAGTGTAACCGATTGCAACACAACAAATGACTGACCAGTGATTAGTGTTTTACAGTGATTACGACAGACAGCCTGTTTCTGCCACTGCTGCCAAGCATTTGCTCTTTTCAGCTTGTTCAATTGTGGAGGTTTTTACATTCTTTACCTTACAATATAAAGCACCTTGAGGCAACTGTTGTTTTTTGGCACTATATATAAATATAAATGAATTGAACTGGTAGCAACTTTATGAATGAGAAAATGAAAACAAGTGTCAGTCAGCTGGTTCATGTCCAGCAGGTGGGGAGGAATCAGTGAGTCTGTTACTCCAGTTACTTACTCAGAGGTAAAGTTAAAGAAAACGAGTTTCCTTCATTGCACTAAACCTGCCCACTAAACATGACCCTGAATGAACCCATATGTAAAGGACTGTAGGTTTTAAGCAGGCTCAGGTAATGGCAACACAATAGATGAGGAAAGTGGGGGAACTCTGACGACATCTAGTGGACATCTTGAAGATGACGGGTCTGAACAGAGAGCAATGCAGGTCTGTGGAGATTGCAGCACACTGTGAAATATGAACTATGAATAATATCTACATCTGTAATGATGTAATCAAAATAGGCTCCATGTAGTTCAAGTTCTGTTACTGTACTTATGAAGCAAACTGCACACACAGAGTTGGCAAACATTGAGTTTACTTGCATTTAGGCAAAATGATATAAACACTTATCATGAGCCAATATAGCACATTTAACTGCTTTTATTTAGCAGGGATTACACAATACACAAAATTAGTCACAAACATTTTAATCAAATCTTGCAACATGTTGCTAAGAAGAACCAGGACAACCAGGTCAAAGCCATACTGAAGTATAACCTTCATTAACATAAATCACAAAGAAAACATATTTAAATAAAAATTGTATACTTGTCTTGAACTTTTTTAAATCTTTAGTCCTGTGTATTAAAACTTATTTATTGGCTGATAAAAAGGAATCACATCATGGTTGTTACAAGGAACAAGTGATGAAAAACTCATTTTCATGTTTGTTTCTTCTATACTGAAGAAGAAATACAAGTTTCTGTGGTAAATATTAAAAGAGCATCCATGTTCAATAAATATTTGTGTCACCTTTAAAGACCAATAAAAAAAATATCAAACTTAGAGAAACATAAAGTCAGGGCTGGAACAAACAACATAGAGTGCCCTTCACTGCTGTGGACAGGAAATGTACCGTGACTTGGAGCATGAGGTCATTTTCTACCTCGGGTGCTGCAGTGATTTGGTTTGTCACTCAGGTGGATCCTTAGATGAAAATTCAGTCCTGATTTCCAACTGAATCTTTCCCCACAGGAGCTACAAATATATGGTTTCTCACCTGTGTGGATCCTTCTGTGACTTTTCATAGTCGACAAGTCTCTAAACTCTTTCCTACAGACGTTGCAAGAATACGCTTTCTCACCGGTGTGGATTCTCAAATGAGTTTCTAGTCCTGATTTCTTACCAAATCTTTTCCCACATGTGCTACAGAAATACAGCTTCTCGCCTGTGTGGATTCTCACGTGAGTTTCCAATCCTGATTTCCAAATGAATCTTTTCCCACAGGTGCTACAAGAATGTGGCTTCTCACTTGTGTGAACTCTCATGTGTCTCGTCAGGTTGGATTTACACTGAAAAGTTTTTCCACAAGTGTCACAGCTTACAGATTTTTTACTTGTATCAGTTTCACTCCGAGACTTATCTGTTCGGTTTTTGTGACGTCTCCTTTTCTTCAGCTCCGCATTTCTAGTTGATCCCGAGTCCACATGCTGGTTTTCTTCCTGTTCCTCAAGCTCTGGTTCAGGAAAGTTAAGAGCAAGGAGCTGGTCATCGTTTGGTTCTGATTCACTGAGGTCACTTTCCTCAAAACTAGAAGTCACCATAAAACTATTGATCTCCTGCTTCAGTACAATCTCCTCCAGCTCCTGACTGGTGCAGAGTTCCTCCTGTTCCTCTTTAATCTGTGGAGGATCTGGGTCCTCCTGGTCCAGACTTGAGTTCCTCTCCTGCTGATTGGCGACAAACTCCTCCTCCTTACAGGCAGTTTGCTGGTGGAGGTCTAAACGAACAATAAAAAAATGTAATTATAGAAAAACACTTCTGAGAAGATAAAGTTTTAGTTAAAGTCTGTAATGAGGGCATGTTGCTCACATTTGCAGGTGAAATTAAAAGTGTGTAAAAATGAAGTTATTTGTGCACTCTGATGCAAATGAGAACTTGAGTTCTGACATTTTTCAGCAACATTAAGAGTAAAAAAAACCTTTCAAACAAAAAAGAACTCACTTATTACTGACTGACTGATGATCTATTTTGGAGTTGATCTCGAAACTGATCTACATCTTGATATTTTTCAAAATAATCTTCACTATTGGGGGTGGCTGTAGCTCAGGCGGTAGAGCAGATCATCTACTGATCGGTTCGATTCCCGGCTTCACCTAGTCTGCATTTCAAATATCCTTGGGCAAGATACTAACTCCAAGTTGCCTCAAGTTGCTCTTTGATCTGTGGAATGTGTGTCTGAATGTTGGTAGAAAGCACTAAGAAAAATGTGCTTGTGCGAATGGGAGTGAGTGGGTGAATGCACAAGTTTTGTAAAGCGCTTTGAGTGCTCAAGATTGAGTAGAAAAGCGCTATATAAGAACCAGTCCATTTAAAACTCCCTGTCATGTTTTCACGAATACACATTAAATAGATCTGACTGATACAAACTGTAGGTTTAATATTAATGTTAACACTTCAGAAAAGCGATTACAGTTTTACCGCTGGTCTGTAAATCTTTCTCAGGTTTCCAGATGTTATGCAGCTGTCTGAGCCGCTCTTCCCCGCTCCAGACGACGATGCCTTCATCCTCGTGTTTCACTACAAGCTGTTCTCCCTCTTGACTGATGCAGAGTTCCTCCTGTTCCTCTTTGATCTGTGGGGGATCTGTGTCCTCCTGGTCCAGATTGAAGTTCCTCTCCTGCTTCCAGACCTGCTGGCCAGCCAGATCTTCCTCCTCCTTACACTTCATGTTGATGTGGGACTTGAGGAACAAAGTAAAAAGAAAAAGATTAGACAGGTAAAGGTGCAGCCTCAGTCAGCAGGGCTGTACACTGTGAGCATGTTGCTCACATATGTGAGAGAGGTTTGTACAAATGTTTCAGAAGCACCATGTGACTCCCTCTCTTTGTTGGAAAGTCTTATTAATTCACTTTATAACTATTACTTTGAAGATAAATTTCTACCATCACAAAAATATTATGACCTCTTTAAAAACAAACAACGGCAACTACATGACTTAAATTCCATGTTTAGATGAAGGTAATGGTCAATGCCTTTTGACAGGGGAAAAACCTCCACACAGAAGAATCTTACTTGGCTGAATCATAAATTATTCACCATGATTAAAACTGCAGATGAGCAATAATCTGCATTTTATTTTAGCCAAAGAGGAATGTTTCTGTTTGTCTGTGATCTGACTTTTTCTGCTGGGTCCAAATTTCATTTTATCCTGTGTAAGTTTGTTTCTCTTCCTGTTAACTAGCAAAGTCAAAATCACCTTGATTAATTTAACTTTAATTCAATTATAAATGTAATCATTTTATTGAACAATTAATTTCATTTCAATGAAAAACAATTACTTAAAAGAAAGAGATTAAGTTGGAGAGAGACATGTGGCCATCTTTTAGTGAGTTAGACCCTGATTAAGGGGTATTTTTAAAAGTAAAGCCCATCTCTCAAAGTCCCTGCCGGCCTGCCTCCACCTCGGGAAGTCTGTGGGTGCAGACGGAGGTGAGGAGCACCACAGGCGGCAGAGAACTGTCTGTAGCCCCGGAGTGAGGCGTCGTGAACCGAAGCAGACAGCGAACTGTGGCACAGTGCAGAAAACCGAAGCTTTCCCTCCCTGTTTGGTTTTGATGTGTCTCATGAAAGTCTATTGTTAAAAGTTTACCTTTAAAAAAAACGGACGCACTTGTTTGATTAGCTGCTCTCTGATTTTAGCCTGTTAGCTTACAGACTGAGCTCAGATCGTTCCTGTGTTAGTTCATTGAGAACATCACAGTTTTACATACCTGCTGCGTGACTTCATCTCGGGTCTCCGGCTGATATACAGCAGTCTGAGCCAGTGGCGGATCTCATCATCCTGGACGACTGTTTTTAATGTTTTAACCACGGAGATTTCTTCTGCATCATCAGTCTCTCATTGTTAAACTCTCCCAGAAACTGAAGACAGTTGTGCCATTTCCGCGCTTCTTCTTCTTCTATTGAGTAGACGGCAGACTACACATGTCCAAGGGTAATACTGTCCTCCTCAGGCCATTGGCATCAAGTCAAAGCCTTAAAGTCTGGTACTTTGCGCATGGTCATTTTTTACGAACAGCAGAATCACAAGACAAAGCGTGCCAATGTTTATACTTTTCACTGTGACTGCCAAATAGATGAAAAAGTAGATGTTAAAAAACAACTTATAGTTTTGTCATTGGGCTGGTAGAAAGCTATGAGTTTCTGTCCCTTTGTCTGACCTTAGAGACTTATTTTAAAAGGAAACATTACAATCCTTTAAAGCAAGTATTTTCACCTCTGTTCCCCCTCTGTACTTAGCTTTTTTGTTGTCATGTCAGTAATTGTCCAGTTGATGGCTCCCTTGGATCACAAGCCTGTCTCATGAGTCCAAGTGAATATATTCTTAATAAACAGCTTTGAAGAATTTGTGACCAACTTTGTTTAATTCGGAACATCATCATCATGAGTCAAACTCACTCTTGGATCTACAAAATATTTAACAAAAACAAACATCACTGAATCATAAGGTATTTGCTCCAACTCTTAGTCCAGAAACACATGAGTGAACTAGATCAGCTGCTCCTCCAGTTCAGCTGTGGATTTATATCATTATTTATATTTGTAAAGTGGATATGCAGTTTTTCAGTACTAATATAAGCATTTTATATCATTGCTTTATTGACAGATGTTTGGTGTTCAAGGTCAGGCATCAGTTTGAAAAAAACAAACAAACACACTGAGTTGAACTTGAACTTCCTACTGACAAAAACTAAAATTGGTGCAAAAATAACCAGAAACATATAAGAAGCATCCTGGAGGTGCTGCAGACAAGATAGGACCAATAACATGTCAACAGGAAATCCTTTTTACTAATTTGTTTATTTCTTTTTAGATTTTTACTCTCCATTTTAAGCCATGATGTTTGCTGATACTGTGTTCCTACTGTTTGTTCTCATTAATAGTTCTGTTTTTAACATTCTGTGCTGAAGCTGGAGGAAATGTTTCTACAGTGTCAGATGATACAGCTCCAAACTAAATAAGTGACTAACTAACGATGCTTTAACACACTTTACTATAAATTATGATATAGTGCACTTTCTTAAAATTTCTTATTGCTCTGTAATTAATTGTTTTCTTTATAAATGTACAAATGAGAATAAAATCTGTGTGATAAAGGAAGGTCTGTAGACTTCTCTGTTAAGATCAGTGAAGAGAAACAACAACATACAAATACCTAAGAAAAATATTCAGTAAACATTTAGAAGATAGAGAAGTTTATGTTGTCATGTGGAGAAATTTTTCAAATAAAAATATCCATAAGCATTGATAGTCTCCATGGCTGAACAGACACAGGAAAGAGCTCCACCTATAAAACGTAAAAACATCAAGACAACATGTTGAAGATGTCGAGGTACTGCCCATAATGTTTGACTGACATCTGATTTATGTGCAGCACATAAATACCACAATAATGATGGAGAGAAACTAAAAGGGAACTAAAATACAGATTTAAACTTACAACAATATGAAAGACTTCAGTCTATTTCACTTTAATCAACTCAGCAGTGTCTCCATAATAAACCAACAGTCCAGCATAGAGCGGCTGAGTGAATGTGGTCTGGACTCTGTGGAGGAGAGTCATGGTTTCAGAGACGCTGTAGAAGGACAAAATACCTGCTCTGTGATCCAGGTACACTCCTACTCTGGAGGAACGAGGACCTGAGACAGGAGTTTGGATGCTGTTGTACCAAAATATAAAACTGTTGTTGTAACAATTTAATGACCAAGATTTGTCATTCCATCCAAAGGCACATTCATCACCTCCTCCTTTTCTGCTGATATTCTTGTATGCAACTGCTACATAAACTTCTTCCCCTCTCCACTCCACCTCCCAGTAACAACGTCCAGTCAGACTCTCTCGACTCAGGACCTGCAACCTGTTAGTGAATCTGTCTGGATGATCAGAATAAGACTGTTGTTGATCCATAAATGTTGCTTTTCTGTTCCCCTCTGATAATAACAGCTGTGTGTGTGCTGTGTTTGGATCCAGTGTGATTTCACATGAATATTTTAAGAATCCAGCTCTGGTCTTTGGCTCTGGTTGTGACAGTGAAACATCCACTTCAGTGACTGTCAGTGAGATGTTTGTCCAGTCCTCTCTCAGAATGTCCTGTAGTTTATCTCTGACCTCTGACACAGCTGCTGTCACATCCTCAAAGTAGCTCAGAGGACGGATATTGATGCTGGATGAGTCTGTAGACTCACTGAGTGCTGACAGTGAGGGGTAGTTGTGTAGAAACTGGATGTGATCCTCTGTGTGTGAGAGCTGCTTCAGCTCAGCATCTTTCCTCTTCAGCTCAGTGATCTCCTGCTCCAGCTTCTCCTGAAGCTCTTTGACTCGACTCACTTCAGTTTCCTGCTGGGATCTGATCTGCTGCTTCACATCAGAGCTTCTTTTCTGGATGAGATGGATCAGCTCAGTGAAGATCTTCTCACTGTGCTCCACTGTTTGATCAGCAGACTGATTGATGGCCTCCACCTCCTGTTGAAGCAGCTTCACATCTTTCTCTCTGTCCTGGATTCTCTGCTGGATGTTTTGTCGACTCACCTCCAGCTCTCTCTGCCTCTCAGTCCTTTCTGCTGCAGCTGAGACTGTGTCGTGGCCTTTATGTTCATCCACAGAGCAGAGATAACAGATACTCTGCTGATCAGTACGGCAGAACATCTTCATCACCTCATCATGACGAGAGCAGATGTTCTCCTGGAGCTTCTTGGAGGGCTCCACCAGCTTGTGTTTCTTGAATGTAGGTGAATCATAATGAGTCTGAAGGTGTTTCTCACAGTAAGATGCCAGACAGACTAAACAGGACTTGAAGGCTTTCATTTTTCTTCCAGTGCAGACATCACAGGCCACATCTTCAGGTCCAGCATAGCAGTGATCAGCAGGAGCAGCTTGGAGTCCAGTCTTCTTCAGCTGCTCCACTAAAACTGCTAACATGGTGTTTTCACCAGGACAGGCCTCGCTGTGAAAGTCTGTCTGCACTGAGGGCAGCTGTAGATTTTCTTCTTTTCCTCTTCATCCCAGAAGCTTTCAATACACTTCATGCAGTAGCTGTGTCCACAGGGAAGAGTCACCGGATTCTTCAGTAGATCCAAACAGATCGAACAAGAGAAGGTTTCTCGGTCCAGCTGAACTCCTTTCTGCGCCATTTCACCCAACAGTGTCAGTGACTGTGTGAGTTTCACTTCCTCAGAACTGAAACTGCTCTGATCTAAACAACATAGGTTTCTGTAGCGAATGGGATCTGTCAGCTCTTATACGTCACCACATGTTGGTTGCACCCATCTTCAAACTGCAGATCAGAAGGGGAGGGAACAAGGGAACATGTGGACAGAGAGGAGGTGCTGAGTTAGAGAGCAGGAAGAGGGAGGGTTATCAGACACTAATTCAATCCTGGAACATGTGAGCCTGTGAGTTTTTCATTTAAAAATAGCACTGCTCAGCCTTTAAAGTTGTTAAATAAACGTAACAGTTAAAAGACAATCTTTTTATGTAAATTAGTTTAAATGATCATTTTAGTCATTACAGGATATCAAATACTGCAGCTGAACTAAGAAATTGTTGTAGAAAAAAGCAATAAAAGGTCGTTCCCCCTCTGTCCCCTCCTGGTCACCTGTGCCTCAATTTTATGAGATGAGATGGATCAGCTCAGTGAAGATCTTCTCACTGTGCTCACTGTTTTATCAGCAGACTGATTTTATTCCACAACCTAGACATCCACATTACTCACACTCTCATAACACATACATATAGGGCCTTGGGATCGGGCATGTTATACGGTGTCCAGAGGACAGTCTTTGTATTCAACCTCACCTCTGGCGCCGGTGCCCACCTCTCAGTTTTAAATGCATGTAGACATTGAGGGTTCTCAGGAGGGGCCGTGCTGTACAGTACATGTACAGTGTCCATTTGTGTCTGTATCCAGGTTGGATGAGCGCCGAGTATTTGTATATGTGTGCATGAGGGTGGGAATGCATGTTTAGGTCTGTGTGCGCCTATTCGTCTGTGTCTATATGTCAGCTCGGTCTTACACTCCACCCCTTGGAACATCTCAGGCCCTCCAAGGTATGGAGGCTTATTTCCCCTCACCACACTCCCTGCTGGTGGCTGATGCCCTCAGACATCGGTGCGTTCTTGGTGTCCAGGGCTGGAAGCTCAGGTTTGTACCAGCTCACTCCCCGGTACGGCTGCTTGGTGGGGCCTGGTGCCTGTGGCTCGGTCGGGCCCCTTGTAATTCACTCTGGCACAGCTGACTGCCGGCAGAGCCCGCGTGTACGTCACTGCCGCCCCCTCTGGCTTCTGCTCTGTGGCTGTTGGGTGACCCCTCATCTGGGGTTCTCCTCAGCTCTTCCCAGGAAGGTGGCACGGTTGCCCCTCCGGTGGTCCTCTTTGGGCGCTCGCACTCTGGGGGCCTCTGGATGTCTGGGGCCTGGATCTCCTCCATGCCTGCTTCATGCCCTGGGGGACGAGGCTGTGGCTCCCCACACCAGCAGATCGTTACATGGAGAAGCCTTTTGAATAGACGAGCACTCATCCACACAGGTGTTCACACACACAAGCTACACCTTTCTTGGCTGCTACCTCAAACCACATTGTGCGATGTCAATCTTGCGTGCTGCACAATCACATTCAGTATTTAATATTTACTGTTATTTACACTTAGCTAGATTATTGCAATGGTGTTGTGTTTAGAGATGGACCGATCCGATATTACGTATCGGTCCGATACTGACCTAAATTACTGGATCGGATATCAGAGAACAATAAAAAATGTAATCCGATCCATTAAATATCACGAAAGCACCTCGCAAAACTTG